TTGCTACTCTCATTACGTTTATTGATTATATGGTTCTAACATTGCTAATGTTTTTTGAATATTCTCTACGGCAGTTTTAACATCATTATAATTTAATGCACTTATGGCCCATTTACAATGCTTTTGAGCTTGAGATACAGTATTTGGATCAATATCAACATAATTTTGAGATTGTAATGATGATTTCGAATAACCCATAAATTGTTGATTATTATGATGAGATTCTGGAATTGTCGGTTGATAAGATGTGGTTATACCATAATTTGGTTGCTGTAATTGTGGTTGATGTAGCTGAGGTTGCGATTGTGGTGGCGGTGGTTGTGATTGTGGTGGTGGTGGTTGTGATTGTGGTGGTGGTTGTGAAATGTGAGAAGGAAAATGAGAAGGAGGGGGAGGAAGAGGTGGTGCTGTTGGTTGATGAATTAAGTCATTATATACTATTGGTGTTGATGGTTGTGGATTATTTTGAGCCATGTCATAATATTGTGGTCCCGTTTGCGTTTGGAAATTTATTGGTTGCTGAAATGATGAATTATTAATGTTCGGGAAAGAACCTCCGGAAAATTCATTACCTTTAGGTGGAATATTTGGCGGTATTTGTTGATTATTATTTAAATCCATTTGATTTAAAGATGAAGTCAAATCATGAACACCAGAGTGTAAATCTGAATTTGGAGGAGAAACATTATGATAAACAGAATTTGGTGTTGAATGATATGTAGGAAAGGGTGATTGAGAATCTATCGTTGAACTATCTAATGAAGTATCCGAAGGAAGCTGGTCAATGCCAGGAATATTATCAACGGATTCATCTGATAGAGAATCTGCTTCACCTCCAGGAGGACCAGGTGTAGGAATTTGACCATCTTTCAATGCTTTTATAATTTGAGTTGCTTTCCATTTTGAATATTTGATTTTTTCCTGATTCTGAAAATGATTAATTAAACAAAATATTATAAATGATTATAATAATTGTAATTATTGTCTTGTTAAATGAAATAGAAAAAAAAGAAAAAAGGAAATTTACTTCAGAACTTAATTCCCCAAATATTTTTAATAATTCCAGAAAAATAGCTGCTGCGAGAAAATTCTTTGCGGTTTTTCTATAAAATAAAATAAGGTTTAATAAAAATTCTTTTAAAATAATTCCTTATGAAAAGGATTATTCAATGAGACAACAATGGGACTTAATAATAACCTTGATGCTTTTCCTGCTCGATCTTCGTTATCCGCATTT